ACTTACACATAGGAATCAATAGTTTCTGTTTCACTTAGCTTCTCATTTACCTCAAACGCATCCCCTAGGAATGATAAAACAATCCTGTCTCATTATAAAATTAGATTTAAAAAATTAGAAGTTGATGAATGCAACTATATGCATATAGACACATACATACATATGTGAACATCTGATATTTTCAACAATATTAAACATTTGTTTTTCAGTACTGATCATATGCCAGGGACTAGGGACACATGGATGAAAAAGACAAACTTCCCCTGATCTCTGGAATTACAGTAATTTCCCTTTTCTCTCTGAAACCTTTCTAGGAGGAAGGGATGCCATGACCCAGGACACTGTAACCAGAGTATGTTCACCATCTGTCAAAGGCTCCTAGAGCTACATGAGAACAAGCGTTTAACACTGGGCATAGGAGCAATGTGAACTACATTCAATTCACACATGTGTAAGTAAGGAAAAAAGGACTGAAGGCACCTGAATGTTTGAGAAGCGCGACAATGGTTTCAGAGATATGCAGAACTTTTATACAAATTTCATAATCCCTGAAGCATTAGGAAACATAGTGTCTACTGGCCAAACTTCAGTACCATCAAGAGAGATGACTACCGTCAGATTTTATTCCTTCTAGAGGTTAGAAGCTTTTTAGAAAGCTTCTCATACTTTGTCTCCCCATTTTTCCCCTCAAACCTTAACATTTGAGAATACTGCACACCTAATTTTCACTATTGATGGATGTTTCCAACTACCTTGGAAGACACTACGGGCTCCCACTTCCAGGGCATTTGGCTTGATTAACCAGGTGTGATAGCAACAGACTCACAAACCTGTGACCGTGTGGCACTGGCTCTCACGCAACATCTAGGGTGTAGTCTTCATTTTTCTTTTATTGGCCTCACCCTCAGCAGATCTAGGAAACCTACCTTGTTAACAAAAAGGGTTCCCACAGGGGAAAAATGGACATATAGAGGAAATAAAAGATAAATTAAAAAAATTTCCTGAGAAGAACAAGGACCAGAGTCTACACGTTAACCAACTGTCCAAGATTGTGTCAGATAGGAGTAAATTAAGGTCTCCCTAGGAAAATCCTACTAAATAATCTAGAACTAAAAATATTAAAACTACCTCAGCATAGGTCTGGGCACAATGGCTCAGGCCTGCAATCCCAGCACTCTGGGAGGCTGAGGGGATGGATTGTCTGAGCTCACAGGTTCGAGACCAGTCTGAGCCTTAGTGAGAGCCCAGCCCCCAAAATAGCAGGGCATTGTGGCGGGCACCTGTAGTCCTTGCTACTCAGGAGGCTCAGTCAAGAGAATCTCTTGAGCCAAGAGTTAGAGTTTGCTGTGAGCTATGATGCCACAGCACTCTACCAAGGGCAACAAAGTGAGACTCTGTCTCAAAAAACAAAACAAAACAAAACACTACCACAGCAAAACCTAAAAGTTGAGGGCAAGAGTGATAGAAGAGAATTAGCTCAGTAGTTAGGATGCCGGCCACATACAGGGCGCTGGTGGGTTCAATCTTGGCCTGAGCCTGCTGAACAACAACTGTAACAAAAAAATAGCGGGGCATTGTGGCAGGTGCTTGTAGTCCCAGGTACTTAGGAAGCTGAGGCAAGAGAATCGCTTATAAGCCAAAGAGTTTGAAGTTGCTATGAGCTGTAATGCCATGGCACTCTACTGAGGGCTACATAATGAGACTGTCTTAAAAAAAATAAAACCACCTTGGGCGGTGCCTGTGGCTCAGTGGGCAGGGCGCCAGCCCCATATATCGAGGGTGGTGGGTTTGAACTCGGCCCTGGCCAAACTGCAACAACAACAAAAAAAGCCAGGCATTGTGGTGGGCACCTGTAGTCCCAACTACTTAGGATGTTGAGGCAAGAGAATCACCTAAGCCCAGGAGTTGGAGGTTGCTGTGAGCTGTAACGTCACAGCATTCAACCGAGGGCGACAAAGTGAAACTCTGCCTCTAAAAAAAATTAAAACATAAAAAATAAAACCTCCTTAAGGGAAAGGATCAGATAAAATACAGATAGTTTTGGCGGGAGGAGCTGATATCTTTTTTTTTTTGAGACAGAGCCTCAAGCTGTCACCCTGGGTAGAGTGCTGTGGCTGTGGCATCACAGCTCACAGCAACCTCCAACTCCTGGGCTCAAGCGAGTCTCCTGCCTCAGCCTCCCAAGTAGCTGGGACTAAAGGCGCCCGCCACAATGCCTGGCCATTTTTTGGTTGCAGCCATCATTGTTGTTTGGCGAGTCCGGGCTGGGGATTCGAACCCACCATCTTAGGTGTATGTGGCTGGCGTCTTAGCGGCTTGAGCCACAGGCGCCGAGCCCTGATATCTTGAAATAAAGAGATAACTATCTGATTACGAAAGGTAATCATTAAAAAAATATTACAGTTCAAACTTCCAAATTAGGAGAAAAACATAGAATAAGGAGCAACTTCATCAAACCAGCAAAATTATGGGAAAGGAAAAAGAGGAAACAAAATCAATTGTAATCCTAAAATCAAAGCACAAAGGACAAAATTAAGAATATCAGTCATCAGTATAAATTTGAAAGAACCAAATTCTCTCCTTAAAAAAGGAGACAAGGCCTAGCTCATTGGCTGTAATCCCAGCACAGAAGGCTGAGGTGGGAAAATCCCTTGAACTAGGAGTTAAGAGACCACACTGGGCAACACAGCAACACTCTGTCTCTACAAAAAAACTTAAGAATTAGCCTGGCACCGTGGCATATGCATGTGACCCTACCTACTTGGAAAACTGAGGCAGGCAGATGGCTTAAGCCCTTAAGTTGAAGGTTTCAGTGAGCTATGATTGTTCCACTGAACTCCAGCCTGGGCAACAGACTGAGACCCTTTCTTTTAAAGAAAATTTTAAAAAAGAGAGAGAATAGACTAACAAAACCCCAGCACATCTAGGAGCTATACATAAAGAATATGCTTAGAACAAAGAAACAAACAAAGGCTGAAAATAAAGGGACAGAATGAAAATACCATGCTTGTGCAAACAAAGCAGGAAAGACAACTAATCAGAAGCACAGGGACAATAAATGGAGTGTCCCTTATCACTAAGCGATAAAGAAACAGTTTGTAAGGAAAATACAGTATTTATAAACCTGTACACTCAAATAATTACTGCAGATAAATATATAAAGCAAAGACCAGGCAAAATACAAACTTAAGAAAAATATAGTTCAGGTAGGAAACTCTTAAAACTGAACAAATGGCATAAACACAAAATAAAGACGGAGAGAAATTAATACAACCAACAATTCTGATTTAACCAAGAACCTTGAATCAAAAGAATAAAAAGAAATTAAAATTTTTTTTTCAGGTATCTGTATCTTTCATTAAAAAATGTCGACTTGGCGCCTGTGGCTCAAGTGGCAAAGGTGCCAGCCACACACCTGAGCTGGCAGGTTCGTATCCAGCCCAGACGTGCCAAACAATGATGGCTGCAACCAAAAAACAGCTGGGCGTTGTGGCAGGGCCTGTGGTCCTAGCTACTTGGGAGGCGGAGGCAGGAGACTTGCTTGAGCCCAGGAGTTGGAGGTTGCCGTGACCTGTGATGCCACGGTACTCTACCCAGGGGGACAGCTTGAGACTCTGTTTAAAAAAAAAAAAAAAAAAAGTCTAGGTCAGGTATGGTGGTTCATGCTTGTAATCCCAGCACTCTGGGAGGCCGAGGCAGGTGGATTGCTTCAGCTCAGGAGTTAAGAGACCAGCCTGAGTAAGAGACTCTGTCTCTACTAAAAATAGAAAAAAAAACCTTGCCAGGTGAGCGTGGTGCCTTGTGGCTCAGTGGGTAGGGTGCCAGCCCTATATACTCAGAGTGATGAGTTCAAACCCCGCCCTGGCCAAACTGCAACCAAAAAATAGCCTGGCCTTGTGGTAGGCGCTTGTAGTCCCAGCTACTCGGGAGGCTGAGGCAAGAGAATCACCTAAGCCCAGCAGTTGGAGGTTGCTGTGAGCTGTGTGACACCACAGCACTCTACCAAGGGTGATAAAGTGAGACTCTGTCTCTACAAAAAAAAAATACACACACACACAAAAAAAAAAAACAAAAAAAACTTGCCTATAATCCCAGCTACTCAAGAGCTAAGGCAAAAGAATCGTGTCAGCCCCCTCTCCGTTGCACTGATCTATGACAGCACCACCTGCTCTCCAGCCTGGGCAGCAGAGTGAGATCTTTCTCTAAACAACAAAAATGAAATTTAAAATTTAAAAAGAAAAAAATCTAAGCTGAAAAACCATCCTAGAACAAGTATCAGTAGGCAGCTGATTAAGATGGACCAAGACCTGATGGAAACAGAAGAATCCCACCTAATCCAGAACAGACAATGCCAGCGTCAACTATTCCAAGCCTCTGCAGAAAAAGAAAACAGTCCAATTTATTTTATGATGCCAGTAGTTTTAATAACAAACCCAGATGGAGACATAAGAACAAATGAATACCGTTGGTCAACCTCACTCATAAACACAAGAATTCTAAATAAAATATTTGCTAACAATTAGATTCCAGAAATGTATCAAAAGCATCTATCACTATAAGCCATTTCAGCAACAAATTAAATGAAAAAGACCATGTGTGCATAGATGTTGATGAGGCATATGGTATTATCTGGCAACCAATCCTAATGAAAATACTACGTAAGGAAATTGCTTAAATAAAATTCAGGGTATTTCTGAAAACCAATGGCAAATGACATTCTCTAAACATAAGAATGCTAAATGTATTTAAATTACAATCAATAATTAGGCAGGAAAGCTCATTACCATAATTATTTAAAAACATTTACATGAAAAATTTCAAACACACACAGATGTAGAACTACAAACCCCGGTGAGACACCTGTCACTCAGCAATTCAAGGCCAATACCCACAACCCCACCAGTGCCCTGGAGTGTAACAAGCAAATACTAGACATAACATTTCTTTCATATCTCAATATGAATATCTAAGAATAAGGGCTCCTCAGTAAGACAAATAATCACCCTTACCTAGTTCTTTAATGTAATCAACTATCCAATCAGTATCCACATTTTTCAATTGTCTAATTTTTTCATTTTAATCAGAATCCATGTAAGATCTAGATATTACAATTTCACTATGATTATTTAATATTACCTTGGCGAGTTTAGTGAATGCAATGAAACAAGTAAATGAAAACAAAACCTTTTCTGCAGATAGGAACGAAAACACTTTGGCTAAAGAATTCTAAAACAAAATAACTTAATCAGGTGACTGAATACAAGACAGATATCAAGTAAGCCAAAAATTCCTTTCTGTACTAGTAATGACTATCAAGAAATGGGAATGACGGCTCGGCGCCTATAGCTCAACAGGCTAAGGCGCCAGCCACGTACACCAAAGGTGGTGGGTTCAAATCCCCAGCCCGGACCCGCCAAACAACAATGACTGCTGCAACCAAAAAATAGCCGGGCGTTGTGGCGGGCGCCTGTGGTCCCAGCTACTTGGGAGGCGGAGGCAGGTGACTCGCTTGAGCCCAGGAGTTGGAGGTTGCTGTGAGCTGTAATGCCATGGCACTCTGCCCAGGGGGACAGCTTGAGGCTCTGTCTCAAAAAAAAAAAAAAAAAGAAAAAAAAAGAAATGGGAATGAGGGGGAAATGCCATTCATACTAGTAAAAAACTAAACAAAAACCAAAATTCCAATCATGTAGGAACAAATTTAGGAGAGAGAAAACTGGTTCCATGTGAATCAAATCATTCTTATTTTCTCTAAATTAGTATATAACATGGCCAAATTCTAGCTGGAATCTCTAAAGGTATGGCTTTTTTTTCTTTCATGTTAGATAAAATGACCTTCAAGTTCACATGGAAGGACAAATGCCTGAGAGAAGAGCATGCAGTTGCTATCCCAGATGATACATGTATCTGATTTCAAACCAAGGCAGTATGACTAGGAACACCCTGGAGCACCTCCTCTGAACCTTTACAGACTCTCTTCAGCCCCAGGGAACCTTGAACCAATAAAAGGACACTGTGTCTTCTGACTGACTTCCCTTGAGCACCCTGAGCATGTTACACTTGTGCCTACCCCTTATCCCCAGGTATTCCACTGCAGACAAAGGTGACTCTCACTCTTTCCTATCAGTTTCTTCACATTGTCTCTTGATGCACAAGTATGGGGAAAGTGGAGAATATATTTTTCTTAAACTGACATTTCAACTCTGCTTTAATTTTACCGAGCTTCTCTTGCCATCTACTTCTTTCATAATTCGTTCTTCTCTGAAACATAATGTAGATCCACAGTGATTTTCTCTATTTACTAATGCAAAATGACTGAACTCCTGGTTTTGGCCAGAATGCCTTGATGCAGCAACACACCGCCAAGCACTGTGATTAATTTAAACCTCAGGTGCAGACCCCCAAATCTCAAAATGTGGCCAAATGAAAATTTTTATCCCTTGCATTATGCTCATTCCAGGTGCTACAAGTTATTGAAAAATTATTTATTCTTGATCCACAGCTTCCTTCTTCCACAGAGCAATACTCTGGTCCCAATTCACCAATTTTCAAAAAATATAGGAGATGAACAGATGGATAAAACTGGATTCTTGACAATAAACTTTTTTTTACTGGCATGTGTATTAGAGGAATATTTAAACACAGAAATTATCACTTACTGGCATACTTTATTCTTATATTTACATACATTACCCCAAATCCACAAAATGACCCTGCACATAGGATGCTGAAGGTCCATAAACTTTTTTTTTTTTTTGAGACAGAGTTTCACTTTGTTGCCTTTGGTAGAGTGCCATAGCATCACAGCTCACATTAACCTCAAACCCTTGGGCTCAAGTGATTCTCTTGCCTCAGCCTCCCAAGTAGCTGGGACTACAGGCTCCTGCCACAACATTTGGCTATTTTTAGAGGTGGGGTCTTGCTCTGGCTCAGGCTAGTCTTAAACTCCTCCTGAGCCCAGACAATGCACCTGCCTCAGCCTCCCAGAATGCTGGGATTACAGATGTGAGTCATCACAGCTGGTCGGTCCATAAACTCTTATCCAAAGCATGTAGAAGGTTTCAGCATTCTTTGGCTGTGAGGAAGGTACATAGATACTGTGCCACATAACACTTTAAGAGGATATGGGGCAGTACCTTACATTCAAATGAATTTTCTGCAATGACATGTATGACCAGTAGCACAGAAATAGGATACATACAGACTTTATACATGGCCTCACCTCAACTCTGCTGCTAGAGTTTTGGTGTTTCCTCCCCCGGGGAGAAAAGCCCCCCGTAAGTTTTTCTTTTACAGTAGTTTCTACATTTTGAAATTGGGAATAAAAATGAACCTGAATCACATTTATTAATGATGATAGAGAGAAGTCCTGACCCCTTTCTCTAGGACACTCTGCCAGTTCATACCCAATCAGAATGCAAATGTAAGTTGCTGAAAACTAGGCTGTGACACTGGTGAGAGAGCAAGGAGGAAATGGAAAAATAATCAGAACAACTTTTACAACTAAGATCACCACCAAGATTAGACATTACAGTACACATTTCAAGCTGGGATGCTGGATGGTGCCAAAAATCTCTTAATGGGAACTATCAAAGATAATCAGTGAAAACAATTAATCTAAATGAGAAGCCTGGGGAAACACCTTTCATAATTCTACACCATCACAATTTTCCTTACGATGGCAAGGCCACTTTGGAACATCAAAACATATTGAGAGATATTATTATAACAATTTGAGTCATTCAAGAAATACTTTATTTTTTTGAGACAGTGTCTCCCAGGCTGGAGTGCCATGGCTCAATGAACTCCTAGGCTCAGCTTCCCAAATAGCTACAGGCTGGTGCCACCATGCCTGGTTAATTTTTCTATTTTTGTGTCTAGCTATGTTAACCAGGCTGGTCTCCAACGCCTAGACTCAAGGAATCCTCTTGGTTGGGCCTCTCAAAGTGCTGGGATTACAGGTGTGAGCCACTGTATCGGGCCAGAAAATACTTTAGACTCTAAAGAGTCTCAACCTGAGTGACCCACAGGAACTGTATTAAAAGGCCACAGCATTAGGAAGGTTGAGAACCACTGCTTTAAAGCCTACTTCATGCTGGTCACCAACCTAGGCAATGGGTTATGGGTGACAAAATTAGCACGAGCCTGTGGACAACTGCTATCTCCAACATAAGGGGACACCGAAACCAGCCTGAAGCAAATTTAATTTGGGCCATCTCTAACATGCAGGGAGCAGAGACTAGAAAAGCAGAAGGCAGAGAAGGTGGGAGAGAACTGTGCTCCTGACAGAGGGTTTTGGGAAGGGCCAAAGGTGTAAAAGACCACAGCAACGGTCAGGTCATTCGTTTGTGTGTGTGGGAGGGACAGATAGGGCTGTGTGATGTTGACGAGAAATAAGGCCAGAAAAGTAAAAAATGGTGATCACCATTTCTTGGTGTCTTGTGGGCCTGTGAGCTACCCTGGAGTCGGGATTTCACTGAGACCACAGTGGCCACTGCTTTGTCTTTCCCCCACAGCCCCAGTCAGAGGCCTCCCCACTATGTCCCCTACCCTGGGCTTTCTCCCCGCTGGCACAGCCCTTTGTCGCCTCTCTCTCAGAAAGAACACTGCACAGACAGGGCCTAGTCGCTTCGCTGGGTTAGTCCCAGCGTCTAGCACATGGGCTCTGGCGGGCTTGGGAGCTCGACCGTCCTCAATACCCCCAGGACGAAATGGCACCGTTAGAGAGACAAGATGGCCACACAACCCCGTGTTCGCCAGACCCGAATCGGCATCATTCCTCCACGGCCACCCAGACTTAACAAACCTCCACGACCCCAGGCCCAATATTCAGGCTGTTACCACAGGGTAAGACGAGGCCCGCAGACCCCTCCCCCCGCGACCTCCCCAGGCCCAGCCCCGCTCTCTAGTACACTTCCGCGGAGAAGTAGCCGCGGTGGGCGCCGCGGAGCCCGGGCCCTGCCGCCCCTCCCCCACCCGCGCCCCACTCGCGCGGCCCCTGGAGCTGACCAGCCACCACCGAGAGGGCAGAGCGAGCGGGGTGTTCCCCACACCTCTTCGGGGAAGTAGGCCCATAGCTCTTGCATCCGCGACGGCCGGAGCCACCGGTGAAACACTCACCCGCCGACCCGCCCGAGAATAGACTGCGACTAACTCCGCCACGGACCCGCCCAACGCCCGCCGCCACCCCTCCCATCTCGCGCCCCGCCCTACGCGCAGACGGATTGCGTCATTGTACCGCTCCTCCCCTTTGCCAACTCCTTCCTGGCCTGGGGCGGCCGGGTGTTACTCCCCTCCCCCAAGTGACCAGCCTCCCAATGCGCAGGCCCAAACTCGGCGGCGTTATCCGCCTCTGCGCAGGCGCTGTGCCCCTCCCACGGCGGTTGGCCTTATAGAGGCTGGGGGTGGGGGGAGGTCAAGCGTAGCCTCTTCTCCTTTACCAAGATGGCGGCTTGTCCCTGTTTCGCCACAGTTCCTACCTTATGAGCCTGGTTTTCTTACGCTAATAAGAGTGGAACAGGTAATAAGAGTCTCCGCTCTGTGGTGGGTAACTAGAGTGCGGGGAAGGGCGCTTCTTGAGAAGAAGCCAGGTGATCACTGAGAAGAAGAGAGGCAGTAGGGGGAGGGCAGGTGGAGGCATGAGTGCGGAGCGATCACAGGGAGGGGTAGCCTTCGACTCCGCTCCTCTCCTCCAGGAAGATGGCGGCAGCACCGAGCCTGGAGCTCCGGAGCGGAGCTGGGCGGGGGACGGCGAGCCGTCGTGCAGGGCTGCTCTGGCCTCTGGCCGCCCTCGTCTCGATGGTACGGAGGCTTTCTAGCATTGGCTGCGCGCACGTCACGTGGGCCGGCGGGCCCTGCGCAGACCATCGAGTTGGGCGTCCCTCTCGGGGACGTGGCCTTTCTGCGCGCGAGCTGGGGCCCGCCGCCCCGCGGGGGAGGGCGGAGCCGGCGCGGCCCCTAGCCTTCCTGTCTGGGTCCCGAGGTGAGACCTGGGGAGTGCCCGGCGAGCCCGCTGTGGCGGCGTGGCTCGGGGGCGGGAGGGCGCCGCTCCGGGCTACGGCCGGGGGAGCGCGCGGCTCCGGCCCGCGATGTGTGCCCGGCCTGCAGGTGTCCCTTTACTCTTCTTGCGTGCTCTGGAAGCCCAGCACTTGTCCGAGACTCGCGCTCAGGCCGGCGCAAATGCCCCTTGTACAGGAAGCCTTCCAGTATTACCCCGGGTGAAAGGACACGCTTCTGGAGTCCTTCGGGGGCCTGCAGCGTGTTGGGAGGCCGAGCTGTTCGGCTTTGGGGCCTCCTGCGAGGGCAGTGGATGGGTGCTCGGGGCCACCCCCTGTCGGCTGTGAGAGTGAGGGTCGCACAGGACATGTGTTTGGATACCGTGTAAAGCCCAAGAAGCTATAAACTTGAGTTTTGTTTACTGAACAGTGCTTGTAGTCAAATGAAACGTCTGAAGGGATGTGATGAGTTGTAACCTTTAGTGACAAGATGGTTTGTCCTTCAGTTTTGAGTTTTATATTCATAGCTGCTCTGAGCGCTCAGGCAGTGACTTATGTCTGGATAAGGATAACCGATCACTTTCTTAGCAGGTAACTTTCTTAAAACCCTTTTGAGATTGAATAAATCACAAGCTTTTCTTCTGAGGTTGCTGGCAGTGCCACACTGTGTGCATAATAAGCTTAACGTTTACAGAAGCTAACCAGGGCTGCTGAAACGTTGGATGGAACCTGGCACTTAGGTTTATATTTTGAACATTGGAAGCTCCTCCAGGCCACACTCATCAAGTACATTTGATATTAGGATACTTGGGAAAAGTGTTTTAAACTAGTCAAAGGCATTTATTTAAAAATGGCCTGTGTTGTTCGAATTTTCAGATCTCTGTATCTAAAACATCAACCTGTCATAACCAGTTAACCTGTCATAAGAATTTTAGACTTGGAGGAAATGGAGTGTACTTCAAGTCTCAGAGACAGTATTTGAAAGCCAGTTAAATAATTCACAATGAGGATTAAACTTTTCTTTTACTGTTACTCTACTGTGTACCAACCACTATTTAGGGGTTTACCTCATGTTGAGTTGAATTAAAGTAACCCTGGTAAAAATGCAGTGACTGTAAGGAGAGCCCCTCTAGGGTGCAGCTGCCCCTCATTTTGTGTGCCTCTGTGTTCAGGTGGGTCCCTGGGCCTGTTCCCTCTCCAGTGGGCAAGCTAACTTCTAAGTGATCTGACAGAAGAATTTCTTCTTGAATCATTAAATATTTTTCCTTTGGCTTTCTTGTTTTGGTCTTCCAATGTCTGACTTTTCAGCCTCATGGCCTCTTCTGTCAGCAGTTCAATTCAAAAGTTACTTACTGGAAATTGTGTACCAGCTACTTTTAAAAGTTTTGTGGGTGGAAAGCTAAAGAGCAGCTTGTGGACTAGTGTGGGAAATTCACTTGTGAAAGAGTAATTACACTACAGTGTGACAAGTGCAGTTATAGAAATAAGTATAAGATGTGGGGATGGGCAAGGGGAGGTAATGATGACTTGTTGGCAAGTCTTCGTAAAGAATGTGGTCATTGAACTGGGGTTTAAGGGTGAATCAAAGTTTTTTTAAGTGGCATTGACAGGATAGGGTGTTCTAGACAGAAAGACTAATAAAGAGGAGTGACATTTATAGTTGATGGCATCTGTGGGCAACAGTTGAAAATCTGGTATACTACTGACATCACAATGTTGGCGATTTGGCTGAGACCCTGTAGTGAAATGCTTCATGCCCATCATAAGTAAGTAGAAGACACTCTGACCTGGATAGGATTTCAGATGATGACACTGTGTCCACTGGGAGGACTTGTGATATATCATGAGTCAGATAGATTCTCCCTTCCCAGCAGAAACTCAGTTATTTACCAAAAGGACTTGGTTGAAGAACATGCTTTTTGCAATAACAAGTGGCCACTTCAGGGTATATCTGCCCTATGAGCAGGTAGTCATAGGAAGGCTTTTCCTTTTTCTGTTAAGCAGTGAATAAACTCTGGAAGAAGCATGGCACACCATTGTTAGTTGCCAAGTTGTGGTGGCACAAAGTCTACTTTTGACTAAGTAGGAAAGCAGCCAGAGAACTCAAGTATAATGTGTCAGAATGCTTTTTCCTTAAATTTTAAAAACCACAACATTAAACATTTTGAGGCTTGACGCCTGTAGCTCAAGCTGCTAAGGCAATAGCCATATAAACCAGAGCTGGCGGGTTCAAATCCAGCCCGGGCCCGCCAAACAACAATGACAACTACAAACAAAAGATAGCCAGGCATTGTGGCCAGCGTCTGTAGTGTCACCTATTTAGGAGGCTGAGGCAAGAGAATCGCTTAAGCCCAGGAGTTGGAGGTTGCTGTGAGCTGTGATGCCACAGCGCTCTACCAAGGCTGACAGCTTGAGGCTGCGTCTCAAGAAAAAAACATTCTGAAACCAAGATGATAATGAAATGTTTTTCATGTGGGTAACATTTTAAACATGGATCATGTTATTTTGGATTAAACAAAGAAAAGTTTTTCTTCCCTCCTTCTTCCTCCTCAAATCAGAGACTATTTATTTATTTATTTATTTTGAGACAGAGTCTTTCTCTGTTGCCCTGGGTAGAGTGCTGTGCCATCATAGCTCACAGCAACCTCAACTTTTGGGCTCAAGTGATCCTCTTGCCTCAGCCTCCTGAGTAACTGGGACTGCAGGCACCCCCCACAATGCCCCCCTATATTTAGAGACAGGGTGTAACTCTTGCTCCTACTGGTCTGTAACTCCAGAGCTCAAGCAATCCAGCTGCTTCAGCCTCCCAGAGTGCTAGTATTACAGGTGTGAGCCACCGCCCTCCAGAATCAGACATTTTAGAAGTCTAATCCCTAGTAGGCTGCAGTTTTCCAGGCACACTGAAGTTCCTCCAATACTATTGAAGATGAACCAGATAGATGTGTGTTCTGAGACATGTCTGGGCATCGTGTTAAGTCATCTTGATGGTTGCTGTTTGGTAACAATACATTTACTATGCCTCTTCTCCCTGACTGCTTTTTATTGGAATTCATATAGATTTTAAAATTAAACTTAATTTTACTATCAAATTAAGGTTATAGCTTCATGGAATTTAAAGGGTCTAAAGTGCCAATGTCCTTTCCCCAGTTGTGTCTCTTCCCCTGCAGAGGGTCAGCTGTAGCTTTGGTTGATTCCCCTGGTTCTTACCTGTAACTCTGTAAGAACACATTTGCTTCACTTGCTTATTTGTGTTGCTCTCACTGTTTCTATATTGTTTCTTCCCTGGACACTGAAGAGTTGAGAGAAAGATTTTGGCTTTCACCCTTCTGCCTTCTCTGCGCAGACAGATCCTTGGTGCCCAGAGTAACCCTAATTTGGTTAGTCATTGTTTATATTATCACTACATAGTGCCATTCACAGCTAGGCTAAATGGCATACTGGGATTGCTTTTCCTTCCTGGATTACTTTTTGTTTTCCTGAGGTTATTACAAGTCTTGTTTTTTGTTTGCTTGCTGTTTGCCTAGTTTTCTGTCACTAAAATTCAACCCCAAATTCTGTACAATTGTCTAAATCTCCTTTCAAGAAAGTCAGTCTTTTTTATCTGATGGTATTTGTAATTCTATTCATTTCATCTTGAGTAAATCTCTTCCAAAGCCTATGGCCCATGGCCGTCTTAACCACGCCTGCAGTCTTCCTGCAAATCTCATCAGCCCCTCATGTACTTGACCGGCAGTTTTCTGGAACTGAGGTCCTCATCTTTCTTGGTTTTGCTATGATTTTGGTGGGGCACATCCTTTACTAGGTGCCTGGGAGAAAGTGCATGTGAGATAGTTTTGGGAACCCGTGTATCTGGAAGTGCCTATCTTGCCCCATGCTGAGTGAAGGTCTAGACACCCATCTCACTGCCCTGCCTCCCAGCCCTCAGCATTGTTGAGTCTTGAGCCATCCTGACTTATTTGCATGTATTTACTGATAAAACTGTAGGGCCTGTGTACATGACTGTGTTTTCCTTGGTGAAAGCATAAAGACTTCTTTCTGGCAGTGACCGTAGCACAGTGGTTACAGCACCAGCCACATACACTGAGGCTGGCAGGTTCGAAACCAGGCCAGCTAAAAAACAATGACAACTGCAACAAAAAATAGCCAGGCATTGTGACGGGCACCTGTGGTCCCAGCTATTTGGGAGGCTGAGGCAAGAGAATTGCTTAAGCCCAAGAGTTTGAGGTTGCTGTGAGCTGTGACACTACGGCACTCTACTGAGGGTGATACAGTGAGACTCTATCTCAAAAAAAAAAAAAAAAAAAGACTTCTGAAATTTAAGACACCTGAAACCTTAGGAGTCTGTTTTTCTCCAATATTTTGTCTACTGTTTGGTCCTCTTTATTTGGAAACTAATTTTATTCAATGCTGGGCATTTTTCTTTATTTCTTGCTTTGATTTCTTCCCATCCATTCATTCTCTCTCCCCCTCTCCACCCCATCGGACCTTCTGGCTTGGTCCTATTAATCTTCTTAGGTCTTCCATT